AGTGACTGGATAAGGTCTGGTTCCTTCTAAACACTATAGTTGGAATTCAACTGTAATCTGTATTGGATCTGCATTAGGCGTGAGACGTGAAACACTAGAGACAGCCTTACGAATTGGAACACATGTGATGTGTTGGTCAGATTGTTTGAAAGACAGATACCTTTCTTACGTGTAGTGTTTTTCGATAAAATTTTCATTGAGACTTCATTTTCTCACATGAAATTACAAAAAAAAAGAAAGATTAGATAGTTTAACTAAAACAATGAGATCCTTTAAAGAAAATCGGCAGCTTAAATTTTGACATGATTTGATACAGAACAAGCAAACGTTGCTGCAAAAACATTTCGGGATGAGCAAAATTTTAGGCCAACTGATAAGACGAAAATTTACATTCATAGGTTTATCCTGATCTCCTCACGTTCCAGAGTCATTACTAAGGGAGTAAATGATCGATAGACTGAATGAAGGGTTTTTGTCCGCAGCAGAAAGATAATAAAAGGAAACTTACAGTTCAAAAAAAGCTTTCACATAAGCTCAGCATAGTAATAGTTAAATTCAGAGGATATATCAAACAGCATATTGAAGGTGAAACTCCCGAAGTATGTGTTTCCTCTTCATATTCTGGAGACTTTTACTTAATACATTTTGACAGAGGCATTAGTTAATTTTGTTCCTCTTTGAAATTAAACAAGAGGTGAAATTTTAGACAATTACATACATATGTCTCCTAGATTTAAGTCCTAAATACAATATTTGAGACTTTTAGGGGGAAACAAATTTTGAAAAAAAATAATTTCAAATTAATTTTTAAATTGTCTGCCAATTATTCTTTCGATGATTATTTCACCATGTCAGCCAGACTCAAATAAGACTGAACTCTGGTTTTTAAGATTCAAATAGAAAGTAAAATACGAGTCTAACATAAAAAAAAATTGACAAGCCATCCTCTGTAATATCTACTAGATGGCATAGCTCAATAAGACACGATGTGAATGTGGTGAGAAAATGTAAAACTCCAGAAAAACGTATTTATACTTTGTCGCTCAGCTGACAAAAGTGCGTAAGTACACATTAAGAAAATCATTAATTTGTATGAGCGACAGGTTGACGGGGTTCATTCCAGACTATAGTTGCGCACTTATGTCAGGAGGACGACGACTTGATGATTGCGTTTAATATTTCTGAGGATAAGTAATTGTAATAAGCTTGCAAAAATTAAACTGTAAGATAAAGTTAAACTTTTTTAAAATACACACTAATTTAAGAGACTTCTTTTAATGTAAATGACAAATCAACAGTTACACCTTTAAAACATGAGCTCCTGGTTCTTATGTTGGAAATTTCTTGACAAACTTTATTTTATAAAGGAAGAGCTAGTCAAAATCGTTTCTTAATGACTCTTGTTATTTTTCCCCGGTTTCCATCTCATTTGTTAAACTGAAATGCTATCAACAAGTTATTTCCTTGCTTTCACTTATGGGTTGGATGGAGTATTCCTCACAAGTGGCAAAAATTTGGCACTTCCAGGCTGAATTCTACTTCTCTCCCAACACCGAAAATGACTGAAATTTCATTTGGGTACATCTCAGTGCAGGGAATATTTTTCAAAAGTAATTAATCTACAAAAAAAATTCAACTTCCATTGCATTAATACAGACGATTCACCCACTAACTTCACAAAAAAAAATCTCTGAATATAACTCGAATTCATGGATTTAGTTGCCTTTCACAAAATTAGCTTCTGTCAGGAACAAAAATGATTTCCAAGAATCATTACAAATGAAACGCTTATCAAGCTCAAAAATTTAAGAAACAAAAACACCATCCTTGGAGGATTGATCTAATGCACAAGGATTGGGACACAACTTATTTACAAAGATTCTGGTAAAATTACATACAAAACACAGAGATACAATAAATTAGCCCACAACAGATTACTAACTGTTGGTTTTTTTACGTCCATATCTTTTCCTAACTAAACTTTTTTGAAATAAAATCAAATAAAGTTAAACGATTACAACTAGTCTTAAAAAAAAACAATTGTCAGAATAAAAATTGAAATGTTTGAAGCAAGTTTAGTTTAAGTATGAGTGGAAATAGGCTGACAAGAAAGCAATCTGTAAATAGATCCACAGTAACACAGTAGTACTGTAACAAGTAACCAATTTTAAAAAAAAATTTAAGTGAGAAACTAGAGTAATAGCTCCCTTAAAAAAACAGATTTTAGAGCCGAATAAACTTCATAGGGCGCATTTCCCTCCCAAGATTTCCACACGTATAGCTTCTTCTTGCTTGACATACGTAATAAAGGCCTCAAGAGGGGGCTACTTTGCCTTGCGGCCTTCCTGCCAGCTAATTTCGGGCCAATGTGCTCAACTTATAAACAAAAATTATATTAGGGAATAAGATTAATATATTTTGATGAGTTGTTGGGTGTGAGAATCACTGTATTAGTTTCTTTGTTACCTCCCACACGAATGAACATATCTCTCTTGCGCTGTTTTCAAAATTTCTGCAAATATTTCAATTTTTCGTGGAAGAACCGTCGCACAGGTTAGTTTGAAAATTTCAGAATCTTTTCTTCACAAGGATAAAGACAAATTGCTTGAATTATCAGGAAAATTCATGAGCCAGTTCTTCGGTAAACAAATAAAACAAGAGACTTATTGAAACAGTGCAATCGACATACGTTTCTTTGTGCAGAAGATGACGATTCGTTTGCGAGTTCTATTTATTTCAATGATTTCACTGTTAGAGTTACGTTTAAAAAATGACCTAAATTTGCCTAAATGGCATGATTAGGCGAGGATACATTTGTTTTATTTTGAGTAAATCAAATGTTGACATTGTCAGGAGTGCCCGAGTAGCACAGTGCAACGAAAATGTTGGAATTTAATTGCAATTTGATTTTGATGAAATTGTATTTTTTTACCATTGAATTGCAATATTTTTACATCATTTAGTTAATTTATGCCGATTTTAAACAATCAGCAAAATGAGCTCCATGCTCAATGTGTCAGAAAGATAGGCAATATGCAATGCAATGAAAAATTGCAACTTATTTCAATTTTATTGCAATAAGTTTCAATAAATGGGGCCCCTTCAAATAAGAGCTAGGCAACATACACAACACTCAGTGGAATTGCAATATTTTGACTTCATAATTGCTACTTATCGCAATCTGTGCTACTTAAGGAATAAGGGCGGACTGCATGGGCACCAGCGCATCGCATAAAATTTGTAGAGGGCAGTAAATAAATCCCTGTGAGTGCAAAATACAGATGTTCCAATTAAAAAACATTACATATTTATAATTTCAACAAATGAGCTTTACATGCGCATCTTTCCAGGCGCTAAATACAATTCTTTTGAAGGGAAGGCCCACTCATTTGACCTCCAGGGGCAAATTCGACTGGATTTCATTTCAGTTTCCCCACATGCAATGTGTTAACAAAAGGGATATTTAGAGGACGTATTCAGTTACGATTACAGGATAAGCTCTAAAATATATGAATCAATAATTAACTGATAAAAATTGTGAGAGAATTTGTCCGTTCCCTTGCCAAGAAATATGAGCAAGGAGAAAAACTGAAACTTACAAGTGACTCATAGGTATCTCGCTTGTGAAGGACGGCAGTGGTTGACTTTATTAAATCACTCTGCAGGACACAGGATATGGACCATTGATTTCTTGTTTACTTTTGAAGTTTAAAAACACGAATCATGAAGGGCAAAAAACGCAAAAATACTTCCCTTCTACGAAAAGAGGGGTGAAATAAAATTAATAAACATTACGTATGCCTAAAATACATAATAAGCAATGGGAAACATCACAAAGCAAGTTGCTGGAAAATTTCTGAGACCTACTGAAAATCCTTATACATACCTCGTTTTTTTGTTGCTTGACAAAAATAGAACAGACATTTTCTAACGAAATTTGATTAAAGTGTTTATTTTTTTTTTGAATTATTGAAAAAAAAAAAAAAAAATACAGACACTCACACATTTGCTTCAAAATTTTTAAAATTTGTCCCGCCTTAGTTTTTATGTTCCTTAGTTTTTGCACTTCTCATTGTAGTTTTCCGCATCGGAAAATTATATGAGAAAAAACAGTACAAAACAGAATCATAACAAACTGTAGAGGCGAATAAATATTAGGCCTTTGAGCAAATCTTTCAATTTGATCGTACAAAGATCCATAAAAAAAAAGATCAGGTAATTCCTGAAGATTAAAGAAACCAAAAAATGGACCGAGTTTAACAGAAAGAAACCAAGCCACATAGGGATCAAACCGAGAAAAAGAGGTTTAAAACTTTGCTCCTGCATAAGACTCAATGTAAAAGGCGAACTTCAAGATCAATTTCTGCAAAATTTGCCAAAACAAAAACTTTAAATTTTTGGTAATAGATGGTAGAGAAGTGGCTGAGTTCAAAACCACTCATAACCCAATTTTTTCCAAAATGTGGGTTGGTTCCTTTCTGCTTAACTCAGTCCAAATAATGGTATCAATAAGGGCCATTTTGGGTTCATTACCACCCTGAATTTCCTCTCTCAACAATTTTTTGCTCGTTAAAGGTCAATACTTTACGGAATACACTGTGATTTGGTCATTTTCAGGGTTAACTTTAGCCGATTTTGACGCAAAATGTAGATTGTTCAGCATTTAACCGCAGACCTACAAAATTCGCATTTTTTAGTGTGGCAATATCGGCTATCAGACCTATGTTTAGACCAGTATCACACCGGAAAAGAGACCAGAAATGGCCAAATCATGAGGCATTCTGTAAAATATAAATCCTCAATGTACAAAAAATCGTGCAGTTGAGAAAATTCAGGGTGGGCCCAAAAGGACCCTTATAGATACCTCTCCTTTATTAACGCACTGTTAAAACAATATTACACTTTACCTCATTGTTACAGAACGAACATAAAAGTGAGGTCTTTGAAGCCAATTAAATGATCAAAATTAAAATTTTTACTACCACTTAGGAGGACTGAAATTTTGATCTAAATCCACTATAATTGACCTATTATATGCGACTCCTCTAATTTCTGTGAGCAACTCAAGTATTCTCGGCTTTTAAGCTTCCAAAACCAAGTTCAAAATTTTAATTTCCAGCATTTAAAAAGGCTTCTGCTGTCAACCTTACTCAGTCTCTTGGTTCCAGTTATATAGTTCATCTAAAATCATCATCATTTTTGGATTCCCACCCAGTTTCTCAATCTCCTCTCGTGCTTGTCTGTCCAATTCCACTAGTACATCGTGCGTGTACTGGAAAGAACCAAATTTTTCCAAGAGCTTGACGCAGTAGCGTTTAACTTCGACATCCTGCGTTCGCTGCCGCAAGATGTTTAGGACTTGTCGATCTTCTGGTCGACTCTTGATGGCATGAATTATAGGGAAGCTGAATTTGCCTTCCGTGAGATCTTCACAATAGCTCTTATTTTCACAATACTACCGACACAACAACAAAAAAACTAAATTAGTCAACATTAGTGGAAAATTAGACAAAATGACACTTCCATTTTAAATTCATTCATCTTAAAATAAATCGGTAGCATTCCAAGAAAAAGCTTTTTCTACATGAAGCATTTTCTGTGTCTTCTTCAATAACATTACAATTGACCTCTGATTATCTGAACTAATGTGGCGGTCGGCTGGTTCGGAAAGTTCAGATAATCTGAATTCGGGTATTCTGAGGTTTACTGTACATTAAAAAAGTTACTGAAGCATGTCGAAGATATTTTCGGAAACATGCAAAATAATGATTGAGTGCAGGCACAGCTTATGCACCATTATGTTCAACAGATATTACAATTTTTAAAGATTATATCTTAATCCCTTGAAATAATGGAAAATCAATCCATGTACTTACGAGTAGAAGGAGAATAGTTTGGTTACCATTGCCCAACAAAATATTGCATGAAAAAAAAAAGCACCCATGCCTTTTTCCTTTCTCTGCTTGACAGTAAAAAGAAAAATGGGCTTGTGTGATTTTTCTCTTTTTTCGAGTATTTTCCAAATTTTGAGTTAAGTTGAACAGCACCTAATTTTTCCACTGATCCAAAAACCCTATCTCTCTCTCTCTTTCTTTTTTATCTTCTTTTTCTTTCTTTCATAACTAGACTCAGTTTTTTTAAAATCAAAGAATCATGGAATTAGTTCATTGCACTGTTGTTCATTACATAAAGAAAAGATGACCATACCCATCAAAGTAATTCTGGAGCTTTTTTGTTCGAAGGTGCTATGCGAAGATCAATTTCCTTAATTGTGCCTCCCGGGAAAGCTACACTTTAAACGGCATTGAAATTTACTTTTGTAAAAATTTATTAATTCAGATTTCTTTCGAAGGAGATAAGTCATTGCTTCTGGTGCTCCTAACAGCTCAGGATATTGAGAACTTATTAAAAATGGTGTATCGACAGTAAGCTGATGCTACCCATGTTTTCTAGACAAAACTGAGAAAATTGCTTGAAACTTACCTCCTTCAGACTAAGATTACAATAATCATCACGGATTTGAAAGTAGAGTCCAAGTATGCCTGTGAGTTTCGTAAAATCAGACTTATTGTCACTAAAGAGCTGCATCAACCTGATAGCAAGCATGAATAATCCACCAGTTTCTGCAAAATAAATAATGAGGGTCAATACAATTGCAGTGGCTTGGGAAATGAACTTCAATACATTGATAAGGTGGTGGCCATCTAGAACCACAGCTTTATTTTGACTAATTCTGTATCATTTATCTCGAAATGATAAAACTTTAGGAGGATACACTAAAGTTGAATGCAGAAAGATGTTAAAGAATAGTTTTCTGGGAGGTATTCACGAAAAGTATTTTCTTGTCAGGCCTGGCTGTCATTTTTATTGTGTGTCATTTGTTGTGTTATGTCATTTTTGTCATTTTTTCACTTAAATTACTCCTGTAGATCTCTGTCCCTCCCACTCTTATAATAGCAGATTTAAAAGCATAAAAAATTCAAAGATCAGGCTGACTTCAACAATGCGAAGCGTAAAATATTCTTCTATCCAATTATTTAATGCCTTGCCTTGGGAACTAAAATCTCTTTTTCGTGAAGGCCGTGTTCAATATTTTCTAAGTAAGCTCTTGGAACATCTCCTAAAAAATACTTTCTACAGTATCGATGAATTGCTGAATGGTATAACCCAGACCACCCTCCTGGTTGAATAGCTGACTCTGCTTCTCTTGGTACTACTGAGGTAATTCTAGCCCTCTCTCGAAATTTGTAAACAATATTCTGTGCTTTCGGATTGTTATCTTAGAAATTTAATACTTTTTAGTTGATTAAAAAAAACTTTATTGTACCTGAATTGACCTATACTATAGCCTCACGGCTCCCGTGTATCAAAATGTAATAAATAAATAAATAAATAAATTTTCTGGTGCGCTAAAAACCACACAGTAAAAACTTTATAATTCAACCACTAATTATTGTAAGCCTGATAATGACAACTGAATGAAACATACATTAAATGCAACACATGATCAAGAAAAACAAATGACACTGGCACATTTTTTGGCTATCATTACATGACTTTTAGTTACTGTCATTCATTAGTACTGAGTAGATTAAGAGGTGATGCTTCAACTTACTGCAGATAACCTGCAACTATACACCTATTTTCACCAGCCAAAAATCATGGTACGGGAACATTTTTCAGAAAGTATAGGACACTAAAAATTTCTGAATTTCAAACGATCAGGGTGCAGGTTATCCGCTAGCGCCTGCAATAGTTACGTGCATCATTTTGTGCTTAAAATTTTGCATAAAATTCTTGTGCTCAAAGCAAAGCAGCTCTAATTTATTTACTCATGATTTAAAAGAAAAAACTTACTACACATAGTCATAGTTCGGTATTCTTCTTCGGAAGGACATAGATAATTGTCTCGCCAATAAATTTCCATGCCCTGTCCTCGGTGCAACTTCAAGAGCTGTTCTGTATACACAGACGTTGCCTGAAAAAGAGCAGGAATAGTTGAATAGTCAAAGTCAAAGCACTGAGACGATATTATCTGAGAGGCTGTGGAAAAACATTGAAGATAAGTGGGTAAGAAATGCAACTTACAAGTTTTTCGACTTTACATGTTGAATATTGAGACTTGCTAGTTTAAGAAGGAAAAGACGGCAAAAGATTAAAACAGAGTTGTATAAAAAAATCTGTGCATATTCCAGATTTGATGCCGATGTAAAAAGACTAGTAAAATCTTGCGTCAAGCTCAACTGGACACATACAGTTCACAATCCAAGTTCAAGAGGAGCTTTGCAGCAATGTAATCCTATAGAAGGGATAATGTGATATTCTTAGAAATGCTTTCACACAGACCTTTCTGACAAGCCTCAATGCTGCACCAGTAACAGTATTAATATTAAGGAATCAACGTCCTTCAAAAGCGACCAATTTAGAGTTCTTGATAGGTGGGTATGTAACCAAAGTGCTAAAAAATTTGCAAGAATTAACTTACATAAAAACTGTTTTATTTGATTATAATTTTTGGTCGAAGCATTAAATAAAACAGTTTTTAAGTAAGTTATTTCTTGCACATTCTTTAGTCTTTTGGCTCCATACCCACCTTTCAAGTTAATTGCGGGCTACTACCACTACGTTACAAATTATTGAATTAAGATTTCAAATAAGAGGCGTCACTGTCAAATTTAGTTTTCCAGAGTGTTTTCATCAAATTACACGCTGATAAGCGTTGCGGTCGCATTTCTCTATTCATATTATTTCTTTTTCTCTCTTTAATACAAGAAAAGTGTTTACAAATGCACAGTGGTAACATTATAAGACACAGGACCTGAATTCACGTATTGAATAAAGTATGAAACTATGAGATGAGATATAAATGGATCACGTTCAGCAGGAATGAACCAAGCCTTATCAGCTATTGCCAACTTTAACCGAGCAATTTAATTTTTTACAAGAGAACGTTTGTGCGGATTTTTTTTTTTTGAAAATTTCTAGGAATTTGCTTCGTACTGCGCAGACAATGCGCTGAAATTTGCACGAAAAACCGGAAAACCGTTTTCAGGTAAAAAATTAAATTGCCCGATTAAAAGCAATGGCTGATGTGGCTTGGTTCCTTCCTGCTTAGCGCGGTTCAAATATGCAATTAAGAGGCAAAATGCTTACCTCTGGATGACCAAGGCTGAGCACCCTTTCAAGGGCAATAAAAAGAACATAATTAGCGGCATTGATGGTGCTGGCCACTCCGTAGATAGAATGAGCAACAGGGATGCCTCTCCTTAAAATTGAGTTATCTTGAATGTCATCAATTCTGCAAAAAAAACATTAAAGTAGAGAAAATAAGATAATTATCATCATCAGAATTTTGCTGTTCAAGTCAAGAGGAGAGGATTGAGATGAGGGGCTTGGAGGACAAGGCGTATGAGTGCAGATTTCGAAAAAATTGAGACATTAGTGAAGGCTCCATCCCTAGGTGACCCCAAGTTTTTTTGGAGGGGGGGGAGGGAGTGTTACCTCCAAATTTCCGACAAAAAAAATTTGGAAAACCATTTTCCCCCATAATTCTAAAAGAAATTTACAATATGGATATTTTCATGCAAAATCAGTGATTAATTAATGCTTGTAATAAAGAGCTGGCACGGCGTGCCTTGCAATATATAATCTTGGTTGATCTGCCACTTAAACCTATGGAAACGGATCCATTAACAGGATGTTCATAAAGGACACCTTAATGGTCGATTCTTTACCATAGCTTCGAATCGGGAAACATCGACAATCGATCATTCACGCCTCACCACTGGCTAAGACGCTTTAGGAACGGCGGCAAGCGGTTTCCATAACATAATTTACGGATCAAAAATTTCAAAGATGACCGAGCTCCCACACATACAGGGTGTCTACTGAAACAGGCTGGCCAAAAATCAGTACTTTTGCAGTACTTTTTCAATATATTCCCAAGAAATTCAGTACCTGCTCATGCTCAACAGAAAAATTCAGTACTTTTTCAATACACTGGAAAAAAAACACGCATTGGATCTAGAGTCCAGACTCTTGAAAACATTGACAAGAAAAAATACTCTTGATTCAATCGGATTTTAGCTTAAATCAAGAACCAAGCCTCTTAATTTGAGCAGATTTCCTTTTGATTCAAGCAAAAATCTGATTGAATCAAGAGTATTTTTTCTTGTCAATGTTTTCAAAAGTCTGGACTGTAGATCCAATGTGTTTTTTTTCCACTGCAACTGACGAAATTCGAAAAATTTCAAATTCCCGCTCAAATTGCGACGAAAATGAAAAAAATTCCGGACTGTCTTGCAAAATTTCGGCACTTTTTCAGTACTTCCAGACCGCCCTTGAAAAATCAGTACTATTATCGGACTTTTCGGAATTTCCGGACTTGTAGACACCCTGATTATACTTTCGCATTTTCAAACTTCCTGGAAGGGACCAAGTAAGATTCTAGGGGGCAGGCTCCCGCCCCCTTGTTCTGTCCACGATTGTTTAACATCCATCCACACGAGCAAAATGCAATATTAGCGATTAGCGAGAATCGTCGATGGTGGCGTCTGGCATCGCGTGGGTGGGCGACTGGGCGTCCAGAAGCGTGACCGTGACAGCATGACATAATCGAAGCGTGATAAGAGTGTGAGTGAACATGTACCAAGATTTCCGAAACCAAAGCAGTCAAGCCAACTACACTGCCGTCTTAAGGGTAAACACCGTATGAACATTCAAGAGTTGCCAAATTTCTCCCCAGGGTGTCTTCTAAAAGAGGCTGGCCAAAAATCAGTACTTTTACAGTACCTTTTCAGTACATTCCTAAGAAATTCAGTACCTCCAAGTGACGAAATTTGAAAAATTTGAATTTCCCGCTGATTGCGACAAAAATTAGAAAAAATGAAAAAAAATCTGGACCGATTCGCAGAATTTCCGCACTTTTTCATTACTTCCGGTCCACTCTTAAAAAATCAGTACTATTTCCGTACTTTCCAGAAATTCCGGACTTGCAGACACCTTGCTCTCAATACAATGTTTATTTTTGAGAAAAGTTTTGAATATTTTTCCATGAAATTTTCAGATAATGTAGATTAAATTGCGAAAAAAACTATCTGAAAAATTGGAAGAAAAATATTCATAAGTTTACCGGGAAATTCGCGTTTTATCCAAGAAAATTTGACAACGCCCGAAGGTTCATACGGCGTTCTTTCTTCACACGGCGGTACAGGGCCGTAGCAAGACTCGAAAGCCAAAACGCGACCCACGGTGCATGATTTCCATAAGTTGTCCATTTTCGAATTCCCTGAATTCAGGGTGTCTGCTAAAACAGGCTGACACAAAATCAGTACTTTTACAGTGATTTTTCAGTGCATATATTCCCAGGAAATTCAGGACCTCCTCAACCTAAAAATTCAGTTCTCATTAAGTACACACCTCCAACTGACGAAATTCGAAAATTTGAAATTCTAGCTCGAATTGCGACAAAAATGACGTGGACACAAAATTTTATGGGTGGCTTGAAGATGAACTGACTGCACAATCGCGATCTAGCAGGAATATATTACTCTGAAAATCAACGCGCGGGGGACTGCATACTTTCCAGGCTTTGCTAAAAACACGCGTGGTATGCTGCCGTGATAGCGAAAAAAGCCATAGGGGTCAAATTTTCGAATACGAGTTTCCTTCAAAATTCGTCTGATCTCTTTCAGATGAAATCACTGAGATAGCTAAAACAGCAAAATTCATCTTATTTTCATGAAAACGAAACATGAAAAAGCCGTAAGTGCGCAAAAATGACGTAGTTTCAGGCAAGACAGCAGTGACATGCAGCATATCCCTGGTAAAAATTGGCAGTAGAATCTGTGTTCCAAAATACCATAGACCTACAACCGGCTGTAAGATTTCCAATAGCTTCTATAGCCGGCTACACAATTTCTTGTAGCCTTTTATAGCCGATGGCGATTAAGCGACAGTCAGGCGATAAAGTGTATGCTAAAGGTTAGTAATTACGAATGCTAGGACTTAGTGAGTTTTTGGGATACTGCTCTCTTTTTGGGCCGTAGTATCTTGATTTATTTTGCGAGGAAAGCTCCGTACTTTTGATGGATGCCTGCCATTCCTAATATGATGGAGGGCCTTCAATTTCGTATGATACTGTGCAATACCTCTGGTGTGAAACAGTTGCTTCAAGCGCCGTGGCAGGCTGCCGTGCGGCAGGCGGGCGGGCAGCCAGCGCGAAACACGCATTGGCGCCTACAAACCTAACAGGGATACTTCACGCGTTGCGCAATGCGTGAAGTATCCCTGTTAGGTTTGTAGGCGCCAGTGCGTCGCCGCTCCGCTTTGTGTTAGGCTCTAATATTTAATCTGGCGGAGTCAGCGTTATTCAACTCATGATTTTGGAATGTTTGCACATCCTGTATGGATTATTCTCATTTTAATTGATGAAAAAAAATATGTATTAAAGGACAGTGACAATAGCCTAGCATGAAAAGGAAAAATACCTTCTCCACGTAATTAATCATTCAAACGATTTCTAGGAGTCTTTCGGACGATTAGTGATAATTTGAGAAAGAACCGAGGCTTCCTTCAATAAAATCAGATGCTTCTGAGCCCGTTTCCTCAAAACTTCATTTTTGCGCTTTCTGCTCTCTTCGCTATCACGGCAGTATGAGAAAAAAATCCCGGATCTTCTTGCGGGATTTCTGCACTTTTTCAGTGCTTCCGGGCCGCCTTTAAAAAATCAATTTATTTCCAGACTTTTCGGACTTGGAGACACCCTAGACTTTCCCTTCACTTCATTTGCTTTTGACAGACTCCAAAATTTTCGAACTCCTCAACTAATTTCCCTGACCTTTGAAGACATTTTCTTGTCGGAAGTGCGCTGACTTTTCCTATACAATAAAGCCTCGGTTATCCCCGGTGATTGAGACCGAGAAAATCGCGGATAATAGAAAATCACAGATAATAGAAAACCGCGGATAATAGAAAATCGCGGATAATCAAAAATCGCGGACCATGCATAAAAATGGTTAATTTTAAAGGAATATTTTAATACTGTAGTAAGTGTTTCTAAAAGTGAAAAAGGATTTGCACGATTTTGAAAACACCGTAATCCTGGTTCCTTTTGGCTAAATACGATCCATTCATGGACGGCCCTTATTAGACTTATTTCACTAGATCGGTTATATGGTATAATAAACTTAGTTTTTCATGCGAGCATTATCTCAGTTTTTCCCCGTGGTTGTTTTTCTAATATCTCTGATTTTTGGCCACTGCTCAAGGAAACAGAAAATCACTAGAAGAAAAAAAGAGAGAGAAAAAAAAAATCTCGTCACGTGTTTATCGAGCATTGAACTCCTAATGGCTCCCCGAAATTACCTCATCGAAATGATGTCAGTCCTGTCTCAGAGAAGCAATTATGATTACTTTGCACATTAATTTTTGAATTGCAGACGACA